GGGGACGCCCTCGTTGGCCGGCGCGGCGGCGGCGGACGAGTCGGTAGCAGGCGCAGCGTCGAGCGCCGCAAACTCGTCGTCGAAGCCCGACGCATCTTGTCCGCTGACGACGTTCGCAGCGGCGGGAGCTGCCGCAAAGTCGTCCCCGAACGCGTCGGCACTCGATGAGGTGGTGACGGGGCCCACACCGGCGCCAAAGTCGTCGCCGAAGCCGTCACCGCCGGGGGTCTGCGCGGGAGCAGAGGCGGCAGGGGCACTCGTCGTGGGCACGCCGAACGGGTCCGCCTCCTCCTTTTCCTCCTCCGTGTTCTTCGTCTCGTCCTTCTCCTGACCCTCACCTCCATCAGAACCGGCGCCGAACGCGTGCGCGATGCCCGCGCCCGCAGCGCCCAGTGCAGCGAGCGCCCCAGTGCCGACCGCCGCGGCCGCCGCGACGGGCAGGCTCGTCGCCGACTCGTCAGTCGAGCCCGCAGCCTTCGTCTCGCCCTCCTCCTCCTCCTCCTCCTCCTCCTGCGCGGGGACGTCGGGCGAGAGCGCTTGCGGCTGTCCCTGGGAGGCGGGGGCAACCCCGTCCGCCGCGGGAGCGGGCGCGCTCGCGAAGGCGAACGGGTTCTTGGACGCGACAGGCGACGCCGCCGTCGAGGTGCCCGTCGTCGGCTGGGGCTGGGGCGACACGCCGCCCGACCCGACGCCGGCGCCGGCGCCGACGAAGCGGTCAAAGGGGTTCATGGACCGCACGCTGCTCGCCGCGGGGCTGAGCGCCGCCGCGCCGCCGGGCGTGCCAGGGAGCGGGACCGCCGCCGCGTGCGCGGCCGCGGCGGTGGGCGCCGTGCGCGCGAGTGCGGCCTCGGCTGCGGCGTCGATCCCGGTACCGGTGCCGGTGCTCTCCTCCTCGAGAGCGGGAGCGGCGGGGTTGCGCGCCTCGTCGAGGTCGCGTTCGAGCGCGGCGCGGTCCGTCTCAGCCTGGGCGAGCTGCTTGCGCGCGATGGCCGCGCGGCCTTTGCCCTGCCTGCCCTCCTTGCGGGCCTTGTCGACCTCGCCCCGGAGGATGCGCTTCTCCTCCTCGACGATGGCGACCCTCCTCTGGAGGTCGCGCACCTCCTCCTTGTCCCTCAGGACCTCGCCCTCGAGCTCGCTCTTCTCCATCCGCAGCGCACTGAGGTCGCTCTCGGCGCGGATCAGGTCCGCCTTGGCGCGGTCGCGCAGCGCCGAGCCCTCCTTGAGGCGCGCGCGGAGCTCGTCCACGCGCGTGAGCTCGGCCTCGTGTGCGACGCGGGCGGTGCTGATGCGCTCCTGGAGGGTCGAGACCTCGCGCGTCGAGGCCTCGACCTGCGCCTCGAGCTCGGCGCGCGACTTGGACGCGCAGGACGTGGACTCGTCGAGCGTCGACGCCTCGCGGCGGAGCGCGTCCTCCCGCTGAGAGAGCGCCGCCGCCGACGCAGCGAGGTCCGCATCGTCGTTGTCGTCGAAGAAGGTCGACGACGTCTGCTGCTGCTGCTGCTGCTGGGGTGGCTGAGGCGAAGCCGAAGCCGCCCTCGCCGCCGTCCCCGGCGCAAAGTTGCTCTCAAACCCAGCCGGCGGCGCCGCGGCGCCCGTGTTCTGCGGGAAGACGGTCCTCCTGAGGGTGTACGACGCGCTCCCTCCCGTCGCCTGCGGGCTGAGCGTCCCGGACCCGGCGGACTGTTGCCGCTGGCCCGTCAGCTGCGGGCTGAGCGGGCCCGCCCCGACGCCGGCGCCTGCGCCGCGCTGGCTGCCCGTGAGCTGCGGCGACATGGCGCGCGCGACGTGCGGCGACCAGGCCTGCTGCTGCTGCCCCGTCGTCTGCGGGCTGAGCGGGCCCGTGCGCTGAGGCTGCAGCGCCTGCACGGGCGTCGGCGGCGCGTCGTCCTCGTCGAGGAGGTCGAGGAGGTCGCGCTGCGGGCCTGGCGGAGCCTGCCTCTGCTGCTGCTGCTGCTGGGGCTGTTGCTGCTGCTGCTGCTGCGCGCCGCCACGCATCGACGGCGGGACGAGCTCGGCGGGGAGCGTGTCGGGCAGGGGAGTGCCCGGCGAGGCGAGCGCGCGCTTGAGCAGGTGCATCGCGACGGCGAACGTCTCGCGCGTGAGGTGTCCCGCGTTCTGCACGTCGGCGAGGTCCCTGCATCCCCCGCCACATCCGTCTCGTCAGTTTGAGGCCGGGAGAAAAGGGAGACAGAGGCGAGACTGCACGCACCAGACCTTGGCGAGTTGGTCAACGGGGAGGCCACTCTGCCCGAAGAACCCGACGGCCTGCTCGCCCTCGATGTGGCCCTTGCGCCCACTCTGTCCATCGAGCGAGTCGAACCACGTGTTGGCCTCGGCGAGCTCGCCGGGCGTGATGGCCCAGCCGTTGCTAGTGCTCGCGCCGAGGGCAGACTGCTGCTGTTGCTGTTGCTGCTGAGGCGGGAGCGATCCCTGCCTGAGCGGGCTCTGCGGGCCCTGCGGCTGTGACTGCTGCTGCTGGGGCTGCTGCTGACTGTTGCCCGACCCAGGGGCGGGCAGGCCGGCGGCAGCAGCGTACAGCTTGGGGTCGAGGACGGCCGGGAGGGACGAGGCGGGGAGGGACCCATCGAGGACGAGGTGCAGGAGGTGCATCCCGATCGTAAAGTCGGTGAGGTCGAGCGCGCCGCGCGAGTGCGTGTCGGCGAGGTTCCTGCTCAGCGGTGGTCGCGGGGGGCCGGGTAAGTCTCTCGTGGTGCGTCGGCCGGGTCAAGTCCAAGGACGACAAGACAGTGGCGTACCAGATCTGACCGAGGACGTCGTACGGAAGCTGCGACTTGACCCAAATCTCGCGCGCCTTGTCACCGTCGAGCAAACCGGCGACCTGCCCGCCGTTGGCGCCGGCAAAGACGCGGGCATAGTTGGCCTTGTCGGCCTGCGAGATGGACGTCAGGCCCGCGGGAGGGGAGTTGACGGAGGACTGGCGCGAGGGAGGCACGGGTGGGGCGGAGGAGGGGTTGGCGCGAGGGGTGGGCGAGGAGGACGAGGAGCGGAGGGCCTCGTCTGCGAGCTGTTGGAGGCGGGCGGGGATGGCATGTCCTTCGAAGCGCGGGAGGGGACCAGCTGAGAGGGGGAAGCTGTCAGCGGGTCGAGCGAGGGACAGAGCCGGTGCAGGGAGAGGTGGGGTGGGGCTCACGCTTCGAGACCCACTCTGGCTTGACCTGAGGGGCGCCGGTGCGCTTGTGCTGCTGGGCGTGGCCGATGAGCCTGCAGGCGACGCCGAAGCGGTCTGGCGAGAGGAAGCCGTTGTTGTCTGGGTCTGCGATCTGCCACACCTCGCCGAGGAGGAGGGGCGGGAGGTCGGAGCGGGCAAAGAAGGGGACGGCGAGGTCTCCGGCTGCGAGAACAGCGGGTGTCAGTCTGTGGTAGGTGGAGAGCGAGGTCCCAGAGGACTGACTGAGTACGCCGAGTTGCTGGGTGTCGGCTGAGAATGGAGGGAGTGGTGACGAGAGAGGGGCGGCAGGGTCAGTTAGGGGGCACACGGCGAGGGTAGAGGGTGGGCGGTACCTTGGTCAAAGAGGTGCTGGTAGGCGTCCTTTTCGGGGGTTGAAGGAGCGTAGCCCTGCACTGCGGATGGGAGATGAGGGGGGGGGAGCGGGCTGGGTGAGACCGAGGTGGGGGGGAAGGGAGAGGGAGAGAGAGGGGGGAAGGCGCACGCTGAGCGGGCAGTGGCTCGGTGGCCATGTTTGTCGGTGGGAGGGTGCTTGACTGGGTGTGCGTGTGTGCACGTGCAGTCAGGCGTGGACAGGAGAGGGCAAGAAGGCGGAGATGACGCTCGCGCGGGGGGACAGACTCGGAGGGCACGGCGGCACCTTCTTGCTCCCTCCACACCGCCTTCGTGCTTGTTCCCTACGCCGCTTGCAGCTCTGTGTGTGCTCTCTTAAGCCCGACGCGCCCCCGAGCGCTCGTCCAGTAGCCCCCGCTCTGCCTCTTTGTCTCCCGGCTCGACTCGGCTCAGGCGGCCCCTCTCGACCGCCTGCGGGCGTCGAGCAGGCCGTGATGCTCGTCCACCCGTACCCAAGCGAGCAAGGACGCTCATCGCCTCCCCCGGCGAGTCCGCCTCGCCGGTCCCCGACGTCTGCCCCCTCACCATCCCCGACGACTTCGCAGGATCCCTCCCCCTCCAACCCTTCTCGCCTTGTCAATCCGAGGCCGCACAGTGTTGGATCACTCCACTCGACAGGGCGCAATATGTGCTGGACGACCTGCGCCCCGTCCGCGGCCACCTCTGCCTCGCCCTGACTCGCCAGCCTCGAGGGCGCGCTGACAGCGCCTGGCGACTGCCGGACCCGCCAGCTCAACGATCGCTTATTGTCCGATCGAAGCGCCGCGAGGCGGATCTGCCTGCCCCAAATGCGAGCCGCAAGGTCCACCACCTCGAGCGCCTCCAAGTCCTCAACCTCGCCCCGTTCGACGGCCTCCACGGCTGACCACGGCCCGCGCCGCGGGCTCTATCGCACCTGCTGATTCTGTTTGGGGTTACTTGAGCCAACGACGGGAGCGTTCCTTCTGACAGCTGCACAGCCTCGGGCGTCCGCTCTCGCCCGGCCACGCTCTTGACCAAGCCCCGATCCAGCTGGTACCCGCCCTTCTTGCCTTGAGAGCCTCCCGTCAAGCTCTTTTCTTCCACGAGTACCCGGACGACCCTGCGCTGCGGTCCCCGCGCGAGCCCCGGCCGGCTGTGCGACATCGCTGCACGCGCTTGTGCGTCCCCGCCGCCGGGGCCGTCTCGCATGGCCAGCCTCGCAAACGCAGGCGCTCTCCAGCCCGCACTACTTGCTCGACCTTGGGGAACAGCTGCACGCTGCATTGCTGCATCGAGGCTTGCGTGCACCGCGACTGCCGTGACGAGAGCATCGTGTCTCGCGCGCCTGGTAGGGTGCGCCCAGGGGCCAGGCTCTCCGTGTGCTGCGCGCTGCGACAAAGCCTTCTCGATACAGCAATGCCGTACTTCGATGCAACGCTGACTCGGCGCACATTGCTCTGCCCCGCTGGTGCAATTGGCTAGCATTTCGTCCTTCTAACGCTGAAAGACGAGGGTTGTGGGTTCGAGCCCCACGTGGGGCTTGCACTTTTTTTTCTTTTTCGCTTCACTGTCCTTCCTCCTTTTCCATGCAATTGGTCGTCAGGAGTGGCACTGCGAGCTTTCATGCATGGCCACGAAAGTCCGCTTGACTGTTCGGAGGTGGGAAGGGCTCTCAGGAACAGAGGGCATTGAGTGCTGTGTGCGCGCCCTCGGGCTCTCGCAAAAGGCTGATCACCAGTCCCGACTGTGTATGGCGATTTCCTTGACGCGCCTGCGTTCGACAGGCTACCAGCTGAGCCCCCGGCGTTGGGGCAGTGGCGAGAGCGGCAAAAGAAAGAGGCGTGACTGGGGATCGAACCCAGATTGCTCGGAAGTGGTTGCTCTGCGCTCGTAGAAGCGAGCGAATAATCAGAACCGAGTGTACTAGCCATTATACTATCTCGCCGGTGCTTGTGCTGCCGGAAGCAACTTGCACGATATAGCATGCTCAACAAAAGCGCAAGCCATTTGCAGCCGAAGGCTGGTCTCGACGCCGCACGGCCCGCTGCCCTGCCGTCGCCGCTCGGGCCTCCCGCGGCCGGTCCCTCCCAGTTCCCGTCCCTCCCCCCCTCTGTGCTTCACCCTGCACCCCCCCTCATGCAGCAAAGCTCGTACTGGAGCTGATACAGTCGGCTGTGTAGGCGCGGTGCGAGCGGGAGACGCTCTCGAGGCAGGACCTCTATGCCTGCCCTTCGCACTGCCGGCGGCATCCAGCTGTCAGCGCTTCGCTCGAGCTTCCACACCCTCTCATTGCCCTCGAGAAGATGGTGTGCAGCCTTGGGAGGAGCATGCAGGTCTCGACTCTCGCTGGGCCCCTGAATCAGGCGCCTCGAGGGCACCGTGCGGCCTCGCGCTGAGGTTCCGCCCTCTCCCTCTTGCTCCGCCTGCTCTCTTCCGACTTGCCCTCCCTTTGGTATCACTCGCTCGACGGAACGCTGGACACCAGAATCCGCCACGAGACGGTCACCGAGCCTGGCTTTCTGCCCGAACAGCTCTCGCCTCGTTTCGTCTCAAGCTCATGATTCTCTCAGTGCCGCGTCCTCTCAGCGCGCTGGTTGCTCAGCGCCACTCTGCAAAGCCCCTTTGATCAAATTTGACACCCATGTTTCCTACTATGTGGCCGACCTCTCGAGACAAGGACCTTTTCCCCCCTCAACCGCTCACGGACTGGCCCCCGATCCGGCGCCACGCCCCGCCCGTCCTGCACCTTGTCACCTCCCACAAGCCTGCTCCTATACGCGCGCTCTTTGAGACGAGACTGCGAGCGAGGGACACTCGAGCTCGAAGAAGGGCGCGCGCTAACAGAGAGAGGGAAGCGTGTACGGGCCGCGCAGAGGCCGAGTCCGGACGAGCCCGCCAGACAGCCTCGAGGCTTGCTCCCCCAGTCGCTGAGGTCGCTCGCTCGGTCCTGTGCAGTCGCCTGTGCGAGGAGGATCCGCCGTCGGACCCAGGTCTCGTTGTCGGTCCTTGGACGTCGCACTGCAGCGGGCTACCCGCTCTCTGACGCTCTCGGCGGCACGCCCCGTCCCGTCCTCACCCAGCGCGCCGCGCCGCACCAGCTGAAGGTCACCCCGCCGCGCCCAAGCCACCTACCCGTCGAGCACGAAGTCCACCCAAGATCCATTCCCCGGGCCCCAAGACCCGTTGCGGAGCTGACATCGAGGACGGGATACAATTGCAACACGGAGGAGAGAGAGAGGAAGCAGGAGAGACGGTATCGGCGCGGAGCGAGGGGGAACGACTTGGGGTGATGCGAGGTGGACGGACTGGCGCGCTGCTTCGGTGGCAGCGCCGGTGACGAGACAGAGGCGGAGCGGTGGGCGGAAGGGTGGGTGCTCAGGCGAAGTAGAACTGCGGCGAGGGAACGCGAAAGGGTCAGGGCGCGGTTCAAGAGGCAGAGGGAGAGGGACGAGAAAGGGACACGCACGTGGTCGTTCTTCTTCTTGGACTGGACCTCGCTGCATTGAGCGTCGTACAGAGAGCGTCAGCGCGAGCACAAGCAGGCCACCGAGAGGGGGAGAGAGAGAGAGAGGGGTCGGGGACGCACAGGATGCCCGAGAGGTAGTGCTCGTGGTTGATCTCGGTGAAGCCCTCGCGCAGGGCAATCATGCCCGCCTCGACACAGACGGCCTGCGGGGTGGGCGGGGTCAGTCGATCGTCATCCCGTCAAGCGCGCACAACAAGCGCCCACACGAGCGCAACGAAGACAAGCCGAGACGCACCTTGAGCTGCGCGCCGTTGAACTCGTCGGTCGAGCGCGCGAGTTCCTCATAGTTGACCTTGCTGCTGACCCTCATCTTCCTCGAGTGGATCTCCATGATCTTTGCGCGCGCGTCCTCGTTCGGGAGCGGGAACTCGATCTTGCGGTCGAGCCGCCCCGAGCGGAGCAGCGCCGGGTCGAGCACGTCGATGCGGTTCGTCGCGGCGATCACCTTGATGCGGTCGTCGCTCCCGAACCCGTCGAGCTGGTTGAGGAGCTCGAGCATGGTGCGCTGGACTTCGCGGTCCCCGGACTTGTCGCTGTCGAACCGCTTGGTCCCGATCGCGTCGAGCTCGTCGATGAAGATGATGGCCGCCTTGTGCTGCTTTGCGAGCTCGAACGCGTCGCGGACGAGCTTGGCGCCGTCGCCGATGAACATCTGTTGCGCGGGGTGGGTAGAGTCTTGGTCAGGACGAGGCGCCCAAGGTACAGGGGGAGAGGGGCACGACGCACCTGGACCAGCGAAGGCGCGGCAAGCTTGAGGTAGCACGCGTCGGTCTGGGCCGCACACGCACGCGCGAGCAGCGTCTTGCCCGTTCCTGTCCGGGTCGCGACCCCACGCCGTCAGCACGCGAGGCGAAGGTGTGTGCGCACGCGGGGAGACGACGCACCTGGCGGGCCGTACATGAGGCAGCCCTTGGGCGCCTTGATCCCGAGCGTCTTGAAGCGGTCAGCCTGCTGCATGGGCATGACGATGGCCTCGACGAGCTCCTCGATCTGCTTGTCGAGCCCTCCAATGTCGTTGTACGTCTCCGTGGGCTTCTCGTCCACCTCCATGGCCTTGACGCGCGAGTCGTACTCTGCGGGGAGCGTGTCGAGGACGAGGTACGAGTCCTTGTTGACGCCGATGAGGTCCTTTGGGCGGAGGGTCGCCGGGTCGACGAGCCCGACGAGGGGGAGGAAGATGGTCTGGCGGGTCGACGTCTTGATCACGGCGCACTTGCCCTTGCGCTGCGCGTCGAGGTCGACGTTGGCGCCCTCGCCTGCCTCGTCTGCGTCCGGGTCAATGTCGAGGATCTGAGGGGAGAGGTTCCGTCGAGCGAGAGCCGGTCAGCAGCTGCGACTCCCCACGAGAGCAGGACCACAGCCGAGGGGACGCACCTCGACGACGTTGCCGACGAGGTAGGGGAGCATCTTGTTGTTCTTGATCTTGTCCGTGTTGTCCTTGATCTGCTCGCGCATCTTGCTGCGCTCGTGGTTGAGGCGCATCGTCTCGCTCCGCATCACCTGCGGCGGGTGCGTGTTCGCGTCAGTTCTTGTCTGCACTCGTGCCCTGGGTCTGCGATGACCATGCTCGAGGCAGTGAAGCGGCGGCTGGGTCGCGCAGAGCAAGCGAGGCGATGGATGACATCGCTTCTCGAGACCAGGGAAGAGGGGAGCTGACCTTGAGGTCGTTGTCGATGAGGCGTGTGCGGGCGATGATGTCTTCTGCCGAAGCATTGAGGATCTCTTCAGGGAGGGGCTCCTCCTCTGGCTGAGCGGGCTGAGGGGGAGGTTGAGCGGCGGGGTCGGACGAGTCGGCCATGGTGGCATCGGCGTCGGTGGCCGGGGCAGGTTTCGGGGGCGAGTCCGGGTTGTTGGGAGGCTGACTGGGAGGTTGGCTGTCCATGGCAGCTAAGGGAGGAGCGAGCGGAGTGCAGGGAGAGGGGAGGTGGAGAGGGGCAGGTTGGGCGTCGTCAGCTGTCGAGTCTGAGGAGACTCAGGGGGAACTTGCTCCTCAGGGGAGGCGGGCAAGCAGCGCGTGGCCCCCTCCCTCGCCTCGCCCACCCGCTCGTGTCCCCCTTCCAACCCCCCTCCCGGCCACCCCCCTAAAGCACAGTGAGCACCCACTCAGGCCTCGCTAGCACCCACGACACCCGCGCTGACCCTCCCACTCGCCCCCCTCGTCCTGCAGCCTCGACCAGTCCGTCTCCCATCTTCCCTCCCTCTCCCCCCCGGCCTCCTCACACCCTCCCCACTCCCCGGGGCACACAGTTGACCCCCTCTCCCCCCTCCCACAGTGTTTGGCATGCGCGCCTGGCCCACCCCCTTCCTCCGCCCCATGTGCGCTCCTCCCCCCTCTCCCCGTCTCCCATCTCCCCTGCCGAGCTGACCCGGTCCCCCCATCTCATCTCTCTCGCGCGCGCGCCCCCACCCCCGAAACAGGTGGCCCTTCATGGCCGGCGGTGCCCTCACCTTCTACGGCGTCGCAAAGATGCAGAGCGCCATGCTCCAGGGTGAGTCGCCCGTCTCCCGTCTCCCGTCTCGCGTCTCCCGTCTCCTCGGCCCCTCTCTCGCTCGTCCCCTCTTCCCCGCTAGCCCCTCTGCTGACACCCTCCTGCGTGCGGTCCAAGTCGACGAGTACGCCAACTCCCCGAAGAACCCTCACCCCAAGCCCGCGGCCGCCCACTAGAGCGCTTCGTGGCGCCTCGGCGGTCGGTGCTTCTCTAGACGGGTCGGGCGACGGCGGCGGTGGTACGCGGCGGTGAATGGTGGGCGAAGGCCGCGCTACGGAATACACAGTGGTATGACTTGGGGTGCACCTGCTCCGACGACGTTGCCTTCCGTGAGAGGGGCCTGCGACGGTCGGCGCTGGAGGAGAGCGACGTCTCCGACGCGGGGGGAGGCGACGACCTCTTCAGTGCTTGCTGCTCGGCTCTCGCTCTCAGAGCCACGGCAGAGGGGAGAAGAGAGAGTACCAGATACAACTCGGCCCACGCACGCAAGACCACGCCGCGCTACAAGCCCCGCTCCCCTCCTTCA